GACGAATGTATGACAAAAAAAAGCAAATACTTGCGCAGTTGCAATATTCTGTATTTCAGGTCCCGCTTCCGTTAAACTTTATAAAGGAAAGGATAAAACTGGATATAGATAGAATAATTTATAAAGGGAAGAGGTAAAGGAAAATAAAATACATTTCATGCACATTCTTTTTACTCCGATATCATAAACTCTCCATTACATTGAAATAAAAATAAACATAAAATCTCATTCATTATTTAAACCGTAGATAATGTAAGAGTTTATTCACAGCTGAGAGGCTTCGGTATATTGACCCTTGACCTCTTCTGACCTCTTACTCGCCCGACGCTCACCGGTAGCTTGTCCCCCCCCTCCCCCCATTCCCTCCTGGCCTCCACACCCCTTTCATAACCCCTACTCCCTAATCCTTTCCGATTCCTCTATCTCATCTCGTGCCATTTCTTAACTCTTTCCTAATCTATCCTATATTCTTCGTTCTTCTTCCAGTTTTTCTAATCCTCCTCTTTCTAATCCTCCCCCTCCCTCTCTTTTTCCAATCCCTCACTCTCCCTCCCCCATGCTTCGCTCCTCGTCCTTATCTATCCTATCCTCCATTCTTCTTCTCTCTAATACTCTCTCTCAGGCTCATCGGACTTACCAATCCCTCCCCACCCCCCTTTTCCAATCCTCTCTCTTTCAATCCTCCTCCCCTCTCTCTCCTTTCCAATCCCTCTCCCCACCCCACCTCTCTTCTCTCTTTTCCAATCCCCACCCACCCCACCCTCCTTTCCATCCCTCCTCCCCACCTCTCTCCTCCCCCTCTCTCCAATCCCTCCACCCCCCCTCTCTCTCTCCTTTTCCAATCCCCCCACCCCCCCCCTCCTCTCTTCTTTTCCAATCCTCCCCACACCCTCTCGCTCTTTTTCAATCCCTCCCTCCAACCCCACCTCTCTCCTTTTCCCCCCCCCCTCTCTCTCCCTTTTCCAATCCCCCCACCTCCCTCCCCCGCTACTCTCCCCTCCACTCCCCCACTCCAATCCTCTTCTCCCCCCTCTCATTCACCAATCCTACCCCCTCCCCCCCCCCCACCCCCACCGCCTCCTTGACCTCATATACGTTCTTTTGATTATTTAGCTAAAGCTGCACTCTTTAACTGCCGCGAATATTTCTCGAATGCCTCAATTCCATTTTAAATTCGCGGGAATGTAAAAGGGAAATGAATGCATGAATAAAAGATAAAGGCATACAGTAATTAATAATCTTGAGCGATGCATTTTGATACAATTTTTTTTTTTTTCAGAGGATGGGGAAGGGAAATCAAAGCTGATAGTATTTTCTTTCGTTTTTTTTTTATTATCTATGTATATGTATTATTCGAATTATTTACTTGTTATTGGTCTATAGAAGCGTAGTTTAGGACTTTTAATTCTTAGAAACATTAGTTTTTCAGTATGATGTAGTGTACTAACAATTATCATTGCCTATGGTGTAGCTGGTGTAGTTTTATTATTTATATCATCTTTGACTATCGTCAATAACTCGAGTTAATTAGATTTACGGCTCTCACCTAGACGTATCAGTATCATCATGATTAATGGCCACAGAATAATTATCAGCAGCAGTAATGATCTTTAATATCAATAATACAGACCATACGTGTTCTCAGTTTTACTTCAAGCACTCTCTTGCCCCCATTTACTCTCCTCAACCCCATCCATCACTGTATCTCTCGATTCCTTTGAAAGACCCCCCACACACACATCCCCCCCCCCCCCATCAACTTCAATCAAGAAACCGAAATCGTTCGTCTCTCTCTCTCTCTCTCTCTCTCTCTCTCTCTCTCTCTCTCTCTCTCTCTCTCTCTCTCTCTCTCTCTCTCTCTCCCACTCACTCTTTCCTAATCCTTCTCTCTCTCTCTCACTTTTCTCTTCCCTCTTCAAACAGAGGCTAAGGCGGAGATCGAAGGGGAATCAGAGATCTACGTGCAGACCGGGAGCTCCGTGCAACTTACGTGCAAGTTGAAGGACTTCACTGAGCCTCCTACGTACGTGTTCTGGTTTCACGCCGAGCACATGGTCAACTACGACTCAAACAAAAGGGTAAGAAGACTTTACGTGTGTGTGTGTGAGGGCGTGACTTCGTTATAGCGAGGTTTCCGTGGAGAAAATTGACGGTGACGAATGTACAAAGTGCATGAGGGAGAATGAATAATGTCACGTCGCAAGAAGTTTAATTAATGTTCTGATATGACATGAGGTGTTCTGATCGCGTAGTGTTGAGTCCTTTTTAAGAAACTTTACCTTGCTTTGTGGAATTACGTAGTCTCTCTCATGTGTATTCTGTAATCTTGTATCGGGATAGTTGCTACGTCAATGCTTACGGGTTTTTATCTTTTATTTTATTTTATTTATTTATTTATTTATTTATTTATTTATTTATTTATTTATTTATTTATTATTTATTTATTTTTTTTTTATTTATTTTTATTTATTTTTTTTATTTATTAAAATAATATTTTCGTTATTAGCCATTTCTATAACCATGTTTATTAGATGTGGTATTAACAAATATTATCATTACAATTATTATCTGAACAATCATCTGGCAGTAGTAATAGACGTATTTCTGTTATCATCATTGCCTTAATCATCATTATCTATTATTTCTACTTGCATTATTTTTTAAACTATTTTCATTTATGTAGTATTGTTGTTACTGCAATCAGCAACAACATCATTATTAATGTTTATGTTAAATCCATTTTTCCTATTAATATTTCTTTAAACATTTTGCTTTTATTTACTATTTCCTCTTTACACAACTTTCTGCCTTTTGTTCTTCATCTTTAAGTCTTTTAGAACCCTTCTTCTATTCTATTCTTCTCATTCTTCTCCTTTACCTACTTCCTTTTCGTTTCTCTGCATTGCTTTTCCACCACCACTTTCGCTCTTCTCTTTAGTTCGTTTTGTTTCTTGTTTACCTCTTAATCGCCTCTCCTCCTTTCTCCTCGTTCGCTTCTTTGTCCCGGAAAACAAGGAAAACTTTCTCGCCCACTTCACTCGCTTTTCTTTTCTTTGTTCGTTCTCCCTCTCTGCTTCTATTAACTTTCCAAACCAAATCATCCTTCTTTCCCTTTACTATTTCCCTTGCTACGCTCATTATATCAAACATTTCCTCTATTCTTTTCTCCTCTCTGTATCTCTTTCCTGTTCAATTATTTACCTCTGCTCCCTAGCTCCATTATTTTCTCTCTAAATTTCTCTGTTTGTTACTCTATCTGCCTCCTGTCTCCCCTTCCTCCTCTCTACATTTCTCTATCTCTATCTCGCTCTTTATTTCTTCCTAACTTCTGCTGCTCCCAGATCTCCCTCTCACTTTCTTCCTTCGCTTTTCCCACTTCCCTCCTTCGGCTCCGTTCTTTCCTCTTTGCCCACTCCCCCCTACGTCTTAACTTAATAAGTCCAGCGCAGGATCTCAAGCCTCAATCTCCCCCAACATAGCCGTGTCCAACGGGATGGAGTGAGCGAGCTGAGGATCTCAAAGGTTACAAAACACGACAGTGGGAACTATACCTGCCAGCCTGCCAACGCTCGCCCTGCTTCAGTGTCCCTCCATGTCATTACGGGTAAGAAGGGCGTGTGCGAGCGTGTGTACAGCGGGGACGGTGGCGTGTGTGTGTGTACAGAGTGGGATAGTGGGCGTGCGTGTGTACAGTCGGGGACGGTGTGCGTGCGTGTGTGTACAGTCGGGGACGTGGGCGTGCGTGTGTACAGTCGGTGTGCGTACGTGTGTACAGGCGGGGACGGATAAAATGTCGACAGTTTAGTTCCATGCGAGTGTTTTTGCATATGCTTACACTGTTATGTACAGTTGCCAAAAAAAATCGATAATTGATGAATAGGAAAATCTAACGTGTATGGAATAATATAGGATAGAAATAAAGAGAGAGAGAAGAGAAGAAGAAGAAGAAGAAGAAGAAGAAGAAGAAGAAGAGAGAGAGAGAGAGAGAGAGAGAGAAGAGAGAGAGAGAGAGAGAGAGAGAGAGAGAGAGAGAGAGAGAGAGAGAGAGAGAGAGAAAGAGAAAGAGAAAAGAGAAAGAGAAGAGAAAGAGAGAGAAGAGAGAGAGAGAGAGAGAGGAGAAATGAGAAAGAAATCAATACAACATCATTCATTCATGATAATAATAACAGGTGATCTTTTTATATAAATGGTGTGGCTATATTGTACACTCATGCCTTTGCACTTGTAATTAATATAACACAAAATTTCGGCATATGTAAAAACAAATATTCCAGTATGCCTTTTCCTCTCTTTCTCATCTGGCAGAGGGCATATTTCATAACACTGCACATCCGCATTTTTAGAAAAGTTTGATTACTCAGGCAGTGGCGGATCTGGAAGCCACCTGGGAACATGCTCACAAATACGTATGATAAAGATGATAGATAATAAATATTATCATTATTGATATTTTCATGATAAACGTGGTAATAATAACAGAACAAAAAAAATGATAATAATAATGAGAATAATAATTATACCGATAATAAAGACAATAAATAATAATAATATTAATGATAATAATATCAATAAAAATAACGATAACATAGAAAGATATGAGATTAATAATGATTAATTTACAGAAAAAATATGCCATTTAATATCGTATTAACACTGAAAGACTTTAAATATCCTAAATGGAAAATATTGAATAATAAGACGGAGAAAATCACAACAGAGAAAAAACAAGAAAAGACGTAAAAGAATATTGGAATAACGGACGACACGCGAAAAAGTTCGCAATCAGCTGGTGAAAATAGAAGGAAGCCAAACTGGAAACTTTATTCTACACAAGTCGTAGTTTTGCGTCAACGTTGGTACGTTATAATCGATACGACAACATCATTCAGTAATTATTTCGGGTAATACATCACGTGTTTCCTTCTCCACTTTTTTATTTTTTGTCAAATTTGCGTATATGGAAGGGATTGTGAGGATTCAGCTGTTGGCGTTTCATTTTT